CTCTTTGTTCATGAAAATCCGCCATTCCGAAATCGCAGGAGGGTCGGTGCAATGCACTACCAAAACGCTTGTAACTAAGAAACAAATGCTAATTCGATGATGCCGGCTGGCACACTGATTCACTATGAATGTAGGCCGCACCCCCTAGCGGCAGAAGCTCGTACTACATCCGGTTCGCCCTCTATTGACACAGTCCGGAAACTTTCCGATCGCACCTCGTACGTGCATTATTATAGAGCATGAGCCAGGTTAGCTCAGTCAGGAAAAGTGAGTGGCTATGGACTGGATGACCAGTATTTGATCCCTGATGTGGGCAGAGGATTTTTCCTCTAGTCTCTGCATCCAGACCAGCTCTAGGGTCCATCCAGCCTCCTATCCAATGGGTACTGGGTCCTTTCACGGGAGTAAAGCGCAGTTGGGGCATGATGCTGACCGCTCACCCCCTTCTAGTGCCGAGGTCAAGAATGAGTAGGAGCGAAACCACCTCTCCCCCCAAACGACCTACGTGACATGTAGCGAGACAGCTTTACTTTACTTTTACTTTTTTATATAGAGCAGAGCTGACAACAGGTGGTTTCTTGTCTGGGGAAGTGTGTGGAGGTGCTTGCTTGATTCTGTTTTGTTTTGTGGTTTTCTTGGTCCATACATGTAAATGTACGATAGTGTGAATTTCTCGGCTTTCCTCTGTACAGAAAAAGGTGAGACATTGGTTGTGTTATTAAAATAAAGTCATTACTAATTAGCTGAAAATGTAATAAGAGATATTTGCTGTACTGTGGAAATATGTGTGATGTAGGACAAGTTCCTGGATCGTTTCTTGAGCCTGTGCACTGCTCTGCAAGAGGGAAACATCCCGACACGTATTGGAGAAGCAAACATGGAATCTGAATTGAAATCTAGGTATGGTCTTCCTTCTCGTTAACTAGATGTGTAATGAGAACATTGGGGCGATGCTTGTATTTTGATCCATAAGTTGTATTTACATTGAAATGATTATGTTTTGTAGGTAGCAAAATAACAGTTAAGCTTATAATGATTTTTCATTGTTCTTGCAACCTTGACCTAGACGTAGATGGGAGGATAATCTCAGGCGGGATCTATGGGAGATAGGAGTTGAAGGAAACTGGATTTTGTTGGCCCAGGACAGGGTCCGGTGGAGGGCTTTGGTTAATTCGGTGATGAACCTTCGGGTTCCGTAAGCCATCTAGTTGGTTGGGTCCACTATTTGGGAAGCCTGAGGGGAAGAGACCTCTGGGGAGACCTAGACGTAGATGGGAGGATAATCTCAGGCGGGATCTACGGGAGATAGGAGTTGAAGGAGACTGGACTTTGTTGGCCCAGGACAGGGTCCGGTGGAGGGCTTTGGTTAATTCGGTGATGAACCTTCGGGTTCGGTAAGCCATCTAGTTAGTTAGTTAGCTTTCAACCTTGAATGAGCATAAAGTGAATATAGGCTCAGTTACTTACTTTCCTTGTTTTTCAGTATACTGGATTTGAATCATGCCAAGCCAGAACCATTGGTGAAGTTCTTACCATTGATTTTAAACAAGTTAATACTGTTGCTGGTTATACCGCCTTCAGTGCTCGGCCAAGTGATGAACATCGGACAGACTGCATTTGAAGCAATAGCAATGCTTGTGAGGAATGTCACCGTGAGTAGATCTGATCCTGTGTGCCTCGATAGAACTGACTGAGAGACTTTGTTCATGCTGATCGGAAGGATAATCAGGCAGATTTATTGCCCTCATTTGGACACCTATGATTTTTCTTATTCAACTTCTCTCTGAAGGTCATAAGGGCTTTCTTACGCATAAACCGTTGAACATCAGATGTCATGGAATTGGTGGGACTGAACCAGTAAATAATAAAATGCTCATATTAGAAGTACCGTTTGCTGTGATGTTGGTAAAATGCACTTCAAAGAAAATGAAAAAAATCTTAAATTTTATCTGCTTAGAAGACTTCGTTGTGGGAGGAATGTAATGGAATAAGAATTGTTTAGTTTATATTTTCTCATAAATTTAAATATTTTAAGTGGATAGTTGAACATTACTCTTACAACAGGACATTGTTGACGTGTTAATAGATATGAATGGTACTTTTGGCTTGGGCTTTTATGCGTAGAAAATAAGTTTACTGCAGCTAATATGCAAGTTAATTTAAATTCAAACCCTTAAAATTCAAAGCAGTGTAAAGGTGGCGACTCACTTGTAACATTTGCCTGTAATGTAACGTGTTAAAAATTGAGCATTACACAAGTGAAGACAGCGAACGGAGCCGCTCGATGCAAGCCGCTCACGCTCGCGGGCGCTCCATCGTGTTGTCGGTTTTTTCGCGAATCCCTTTGAGTGTTACATTACAAGTCAGTCAGTGAGTCGAGCGGCGTCGTAACGAGCATTCACGAGTTCTTTAGATAACAGTAGCGTATTAAATGGAACAAATATAACACAACCTCCACGTCCGACATATTGAATGAAATGAATGGAGCGCACACGAGCACAGTCGAGCCGAGCGTTCAAAACGAGCATTCGATACGCCACACCAGTTGTGGTGTAATGTAACATGCTCGCCGCGAATGTTACATTACAGGCAAATGTTACAAGTCAGTCGCCACCTTAAGAGTTATGTAAAGGGTCGTAATTTGGTAATTAGCGAACTCCATATTGGAAGAGGTAGGAAGAGACATGGTTTTCATTTCAGGCTCTGCAGGAGGGACATCGCGATCAGCACGGTCGTCATAGTTTGCTGACAACGTTTGTTACATACCAGTGCATATTACCTCACCCAGTTCATGGGCATCCGCTCAACATTTCACCACCACAGAGCCCTGGTTTGGTGCCGCATTCAACGTACATTGCCCCACCTCGTGGGAAGCATCTAAGGTGAGTGTATTTTCATTCACTGAATGAATCATAATTTTGCATCTGGTGTAGACAGAAAATTTTACTTTATACCTCATTGGGTCTGGGTGGATTGCTGTTCTTACAGCTAGAATGTATGTCTCCCACAAAGTAAATTTGAATTTCAGACTCGACTGTTATACTTTAATAAATAAATAAATAATTTTGCAACATTGTTTAGAGTTCTGCTATTTCTGCATTCATCCCAAGTCATTCATTAACATTGTCAGTTGATACCACCTTAACGCATAACTGCCTACTTTCAGTTATTCAGTTCTCAACCAATCAGGTCTGGTATTTTATGCAGAAGGTGCAAGTATTCCATTACAACATTATGTGAATTATGTACTTAGGTGAGAAATTGATCTGCCAAGGGCATAAGAAGTTACTGATTAAAGTATATCTGTAGATGCTTCATCCTCATGTATGTCTGGAGACTTCATCCTTATTGTGGTGAATTGTTAAAATGTTATAGCATAATTTCAAAAGAGCCTCAGTTGAAAATGTTATTTGGTTTACCAAATACTTTGGAATTTGGTAGTTGGTTCATAATTAGAAATATGTGTAATGAGCAGATTTATGTGTTTTGTTAGTTCAAAGATCAAGAAGGAAAGAAATACTTGATCTCATTTCAAAGATAAATTTCCTTTTAAAGTTTCTCAGTAAATTGTGGTATTAGTGACGAAGTTATGAAATCAGTAAAATTATTTTTCTGCATTGTGTGACTAAACAAATTCATACTGGGTGGTACACAAAATGTTGACAAATAAAAGTGTTCCAGAAGTAATTTAAGCATCAGATGTGACAAGATTTGTAGATCCTGATGCAGAATTTCTTGAGAAATGTCTGCAGTTACACACATTTTCAGTATGACCACCGCTTTATTGAACAACTGGCAACATGATCCAGTGTTTGTAATGCCATGGTGACATGTCTTTCAAAATTTCCTTGCTTTAAAGAGTATTTCTGATTTGAAGGATTGTGATTTGGTGGGGGACTGGAAAAGTTTATGAAGTAAAATGTACATTGACACCAGTGGTGTGCCGTGCATGAAAGCAAGGGAAGCATTGCTTCTGTAATTGAGAAACAAAAAGAAAAGAATTCATACATAAATAATTCGAATAGAATAATAAGGATTGTGTATATTGTCATCTTCTCAAGAACATAGTGCATGGCGAAGCAAGAGCCCAAGTGTCCTTGTGGGAGTTACCAAGTTTCCTTTCATTAATCTTCGTAAGAGTTCGTCTCACTCAAAGTATCTATAGGAAGTAATTCTGGCTCTGTTGTCTGTGCTCCTTGGCCTGTAATGCAAAAGTGAAAGAACGTGTTCTTTCAGTGGTGATTTGAAAATTAACTGTTAATGTGTGATTTCAGTTCTTGTTGGGTGTTGTAAGTAACATTAAGTTTTATTAAAACATTTTACATGCATAATTACATGGTTCTGGATTGTATTTGTGATCATATTTTGAAGCATATTGAACTCCAGAAAGTAAACAATCCGTGTGGAAGGGCAGCATTTCCAATCTCGTGGTACAAGTTGCAGGGGAGTGATTAGACTACACGCACAGCTCAAATGAAAGTTGACAGAGAAACTTCATGTGACTGTGCAACCAAACACGTTTTAAAACGGGTTTAACAGTAGGGACTTTTCTGAAAAGAAAATAATTATAGAAAGAGGACGACCGACATGCGAGTTGCTAGAACTTATAGCACAAACCAAATCATGTGTGGGGAAATTTAATTTGGAACAGTATTCTAAAACAGAATGGCTATCCGGTTGCCGTAACATAGGAAAATTGTTTTGTTGGCCATGCCTATTGTTTCTGAATGAAAAAATATATAGAACAAGACTGGATTCGGTGATATCAACAACCTTCATAAAGCTTTGAAACAACATGAGAACTCTCAAACCCACATTGTTTCAGCAAAGCAACTTGTGATGTTCGGCAAATCTCTAATTGACTGTCAACTTGAGAATCAAAAGATACCACTGCTTCCCTTCACAAAAATAGTACCACACGCCACTGATTGACACATTGGACCATGTGGAATTGTTGACATGTCTGGTCCATGGTACAGACAAGATGTTGTGTCACATGTTCATGTTCTCTGACGTGTGTAGTAATTGTCTTTGTGGTGTAACGTTGTGTAGGAGTAGTAGCAACCCAGACATGCACACAGTTGGTGCTGAGGATGAGGAAGTAAATGCTTTGGCTCGTGGCTTGGATCGTACATCGAGCATGAGAACAGGTGAGTTACATAACTTTGTGGCTTAACATCCAACATCCAGTATTAAGATTTGATTCAGGGCTGTCCACTTCCTTTCATACATGATATGGGTAGAAAGAAAATCTTATCATGATATGCTTTGCTCTTCTCTTTGAAAGTTTAACTAAAATTTGGCAGACATTTGTTGGTTTTATGTTGTTTTGTGTTGATGTTACTTATATTAGGGAACAAATTTTGTATTTCGTAATCTGAAACTTTCTTATCCTTTGCTGTTTACCTTCGGAAGGTGTTCACTGCAGTAACCTATATAAGATGTGAAAGTTGCATGACAAGTTGTGACATTTGTGTTGTGTAATGTTCTTCATTACTAAATTTTATTTTTGTTTTTAAATACTTTTATCACTCTTTTGTTCTATTTTGTATATTTTCTTTCTTTCTCTCTCTCTCACTGTCTCTTTATAATTTTCCTGCATTTTCCTAATATATAATTTTATTGTTGAGTAACTTCTGTGTCATAGGATTTGAGGTTCTCATGATATTGAGTCTGAAGACGGCTGTCTTCTGGGTTGTTGTGCCATGTGGTCTGGCAGATGTCCACCAACATTTCCATCGCCCTCAAGACGGAGGCAACATGACCTCTAAAACGTTGGTGGACATCTACGAGACTACATGGCACAACATCCCAGAAGACAGTCATCTTCAGACTCACCGCTGTGAAAACCTCAAATCTTACACAGTCTAGGATCGTAAAGTGAAGTAATAAAAAATGATAACATGGCAATTGGCTATGAAAGGGCAGTGGAACATTTGAAAAAAATGAGCATTACATGTCCAGTATACTATTGTTTTAAGAGTTAATTTAGCGTAGTGAGGATGTTCAGTGAGTCGTCACTGTTGATTTCAGATGGAAACGTTAAAAAAGTAATGAATGTCATGCTCATGCATGTAACTCATTGAATTTTATTGACGGTACATCCATGATGTGAGCTGACATGGCTAGATGCAAAGAGAATGTTGCTCTTGCCTGAGTCCACACTTGCAGAGAAACTCAGCGTATTTACATAATTAATTGTTTTCTGTTATGGAACTTAAAGCAGTGATTTTTTTACACAGTTTATTGGATAATGAGGTACAGTGAAGGTTAATTGTATTTATTTTTAAGTAACAGGTGAGAAGGAGCTGAGCAACATTTACTGTTTTATAAAATGTGAGTTAAATTCATTCCATTTGTAGTAATTTTTAATAATTTCACTCACTGTATAAGTTGTAATATTAGCATGCTGTACTGCAACTTGCATTGGCTAATGAAAGAAATTTTGTGAAGATAAGTTTCAATTAAATCATACTTGATGTGTCCTTTTTATGCGTGCTCGAGGTGTGGAGAATGGGGGTGAGTGCCAATGTTCAGTGTCTATTTTACGTGTATTTTTCTTTTCTTATTGATGCTGAATCAGTAATTAAAGTCAGTTTATCAGAATTTGTTGATTACGACATTATTTATTTTGACTTTTTTGAGGAGTCAGCAACTTTATGTAATTGTATTATATTATGTTTAATATTGTTTTTTATTTGCATATTCATTTTCCATTTCATATGTTATTCCAAAGAATCTCTCCCAATCTGAGATCCCGTGTAACACTTTGTAATGTGCCGTATCTTGTTGTGGTAAGCTGTTGGACCCCAACTCAGCCTCCCATCTGGCAGACTGCTCCTTGTCTGCGACTGCTTATTCAATATAATCACAGCTATTTATCTTTTCTTGCCTAGGACCGAGTCAAGAGAACTTTTTGTACCAGATGTCCAAAGTGCAGTTGCCACATAAGATTGTCCATGAAGAACTGTCGCTTCAATGGGTGGTATCAAGTGGTTCTGCTAGAGAGCTTGCAATGGCAAATTCATGGTATGGGTTGTGTACATTTTCAATTTCTGTGTGTTAGGCATTATTTTGGTTTTATTACAAAGTTCAATGTATTATGCATTATGTTATTCAATGGCAAAACAGTACGTAATGATTCAAAACAACTTGACATTTTTCATTCAAATAAAATAACTAAAAACTTATTGTAAAACAATAACAGCTGATAGAAAATGAGTAAGTTTTGCTGTTAAGTCTGTTTCTGTCTTTTTTCTTTGCAGGTTTTTGTTAGAATTAATAGTAAAGAGTATGGTAGAGCATCTTGATGTCACTCAGAGTCTGGATGCTCCCAGAAAGATGCGCTTCTTGGAGCAATTTTCTGAAGATGTCACAACGCTGGTTACGACGATTACATCTGACATAATATCACGCTATAATAAGGATGCTAAGGTGACTAGCAGTTTTTGAGCTTCCAGAATGTGTTTGTTTTTGCTACTATAACACTGGAGTTGGATCCCTTATGTACCAGATGATTTAAAAGTTATCTTCTGGAATTTGCATATACAGTGCAGCTGAGATGGTACGAGTACCATCTATAACAAGAACTTAACATTACGTATGTGAGTTTTTATTCAGAGAGTAGTCAGTTTGAATCTTGGCCGGGGGCTGGCTATCCTAACAGAGGTTTTAGTGGTTTTCTTAGCTACTCTTGGAAAATCATGAGTCACTAACTTGAAGTAACCCCAAAGTGATTTGTTCCACTAAACATGGCTATTATTATGGACATTATCCATCATCTTTGTTTTTATCAGGCACACAATTTTTTAAACTGAATTTTGTTTCTGAGTGGTTAACACTAGCTTACCATATTGGGCTCCCTTTTGCTTCATGTTGGAAAAATCCTGTTTCTGAATGTTACGTGTGTGAAGAACTAGTATGGTGGATTATGTCATAATAATAATAATAATAACAACAACAACAACAACATAGCAATACCGACTGACAGGAATGTGATTAAGAAGGAAGCAGAGAAGATATTGAAATACAAGGACCTTCTCATAGAAATACAGCGAATGTCGAAGGTTCAAGCAAAAGTAATCCCAATAGTTATAGGAGCGACAGGAACTGTCTCCAGGTCACTCAGGAAATATTTGGCCAACATCCCGGGCAAACATGACATCAGGGAACTGCAGAAAACTGCCATTTTGAGATCTTCATACATCTTCCGAAAGACGCTATCATAAAATAAAATTATATAATTCATGTAGCACTTGCTAAAAACAATATGGATCCCGGAAATAGCTGCTGCCCTATGTACCTTAGGGACAAGGTCTGTCTCGGGTACATGGAAGTACATACCCCATAAAGTGGTGAATAGATGGGATATAATAATAATAATAATAATAAGTTATGTTTATCGTAACCTAACCATCATCTGGTCCGGGGCATGACGTTAAACTGCGTCCACAGACCGAGTGACCACCAGTTTCAGTTGTCCCCCTCTACTAAGTGCCAACAGCCTCTTTGGAGGGTGGATGAGCGGGTGGAGGTTCCGGGCACTCTCATGCCCTTGGGGTGAGAAATCACCCCTAAAAGCAGATGAACCCGGATGGGTCAACGGCCTAGGATGCGGAAGGCAAGGGGAATCCACCGCATTAAAGATCCTCAGGATTTCCTAAAAAAAAGAGCTGCTGTCAACCAATCCTAGGATTGATTACAAAAGAAGAAGCAGAACCATCATCAGTTGTATTTAGATTTAGCTTCCTCTCACAGTTAATCTGACTCATTCATAGTCATTTCATTATCTCATTTGATTCTGTATGTAACTTCTGCAACTGAAATAGCATCATTGAACAAGCTGAGAAACCAACTTGCACAGTTATAGGGTCTGTTTTTCTGGTAATGTTTATGTTTTTCACTGTGTGGTCCATTAGATTAAATAATACATCAAAAGCCAATTTGCATCTTGCTTCAGTTTTAAACAAGGAGTGTAGACAGAAGTCTTATTTTTGTAGTGGAGATTAATAATATAAAATTTATTGAATTTAAGCACAAAATTTTACCTCATTAAGTTACAGCACTTGTTTTATTAGTGTTTTTTAACAAAGAAATCTTTGAAATTAAATATGTGACAATACATAGCTGTATAGTGACATCACCACTCAGATTGTTTCACGAGAGACCCGGCTTGTCACTTTAATACCAGCGTGTTCCAACATTAACAGAAGCACATCTACTGATGAAAATCTAAATAGCAGTGTTATGATACTATTTGTTAAATTTACGTTTTTATGATTAAGTTGTTATTTTAAATATTTGGCTTAAAACTCAGTTAAAATTTCCCATGATTCCATTAATTAAACCTAAACTTATATAGATTTTGATTTGCTGTTTATTTTTTCAGTTCTAAGAAGTGTATGTGTGTCACAGAAGTTGCTTATGATACTAATTATGAAATGATTATATTTTATTGATTTTTTTAAAAATAGGCCAGTAATAGAACTTTTTAAGGTGGATTGAATGAAGCAGTGTGAAAATTATTTACAGAGATAAATTGTAAAAATAAGTCTAATCTGTTTGAAAACAACCTCATGTCTTGTTTATCTTTATAGCTGACTCAGAGCTTGAATTCAAGCCTTGGATTCTTTCTGTTCGACCTTCTGTCTATCATGGATCGTGGCTACGTATTTTCACTCGTAAAAACGTACTGTAAACAGATGTCAGCAAAGATTTCTTCATTGCCAGATGCTGTGAGTCTTATCGCTCTGAAGGTTAGTTATAATTAATAAATATTTCAAGATTCTTTCTGTACAGTGCCATTCAGTCTACTGTTCGTGAATGCAAGTCGTGCATATCTAGTACAGAAACCTAGTCTCCAGCTCCCAGTGCACATTCTCTCAGATTATGGTATACACTTTATAGAATGAACTGCTCAAGAATATAATTGAGAGAGAAATTTTGGAGTGCTTATATTAAAATGTTCAGTTCAAAATACTTTGTCCTCCCGTCTGATTCCTAAGAACCTAAAGATTAAAGTATACAAAACAAAAATTATGCCTGTTGTTTTGTATGGGTGCAAAACATGGTCTCTCACTCAGAGGAACATAGATTGCAGGTGTTTGAGAATAGTTGAGGAGGATGTTTTGGCCTAGGAGAGAAGACGATGGGGTATGGAGAAAACTGCATAATGACGAGCTTAAAAATTTGTACTCCTCCCCCAATTTTGTCAGGGTGATTAAGTCAAGAAGAATGAGATGAGCGGGGCATGTAGCACGCATTGATGGGGTAAGAGGTGTGCACTGGGTATTGGTTGGGAAGCCTGAGGGGAAGAGACCGCTGGGGAGACCTAGACGTAGATGGGAGGATAATCTCAGGTGGGATCTATGGGAGATAGGAGTTGAAGGAGACTGGATTTTGTTGGCCCAGGACAGGGTCTGGTGGAGGGCTTTGGTTAGTTCGGGTTCCGTAAGCCATCTGGTTGATTGGGTCCACTATTTGGGAAGCCTGAGGGGACGAGACCGCTGGGGAGACCTAGACGTAGATGGGAGGATAATCTCAGGTGGGATCTATGGGAGATAGGAGTTGAAGGAGACTGGATTTTGCAGGCCCAGGACAGGGTCCAGTGTAGGGCTTTGGTTAAATTGGTGATGAACCTTAGGGTTTCGTAAGCCATCTAGTTAGTTAGTTAGTTATATTAAACTGAATTCTTGCTATTGTGTCATTTGCTCTCTTTTATCCCAGTAATTGTTTACTTAATTTTCTCACCCTCATGGTGTTTTGTTTGTAAGTTAATGTTGAAATCTGCGTAATACATGACCATCACTGCTGTATGAACCTCAAATGTTACATAATGTGTGTTCATTTTCATTGCTGAAGAAGATATTAGATCACTTATGAGTTAAAACTTTAATGCAATATGAGTTTTGTCTGTTGCAACAATTAGTGATTACTGCTATTCCACAACAGAGCCCTCATTGCTGTATGCTTTTGGAAATAGTAATAGTGTTTGTGTTCCAAAGTATTTGCAGTTTTAAAATTACAATGTCTGCTGAATCCTCAGTATGTGGTAACATGGCATCTCATCTGCCAGAATGATTCCATCATGTTAGTCAATGTATTTTATTGGCACTATGGTATCACATTTTTGTAAAATTTCTGGAACTGTGGCATCACTAATTTCCTTATTGTAAATTTTATTTAATTTTGTAATGCATTGTTGGTTTCAGCTGGATTTCTTGCGCATTGTTTGCAGTCATGAACATTTTGTAGCACTGAATCTTCCATTTGGCACGCCATTTATGCCGAGCTCCGCACCTGCGTCACCCAGTCCGTCTGTTGCCTCATCAACCAGTCAGTCATCTTTCATCTCAACACTTGTTGGTGGAGACAGAGCGAACTTTGCTGACCTGTCAACAGATTTTAGACAACAGCATTTCTTAGTTGGACTTGTGTTGAGTGACCTTTCTGCAGTGTTGGATATTCAGTGAGTATCATATTTAATTTTAGCATACTCTTTCCGATGGTTATTTTTGGACGATCTGTTGATTAAAGTGAAAAGGTTAAGATGTAGTCATTGTTTGAGCAATGGTAATTATGGAGAAACATTTCGTACTTATCCAAAGTACCACATGCAACTTTTTTTGAAATTTGTGCATTAAAGAACTGGATGTGCGTCGTATTTTAGAATCTGATTCGGGTACCACGAAGTGCGTGTGTAGGAGTACACGATATTCAGCAGTAGACTCTGCAACACTACACATGTCAGTGATATTGGGGCCACAGGAAGCAGGAAGTTTGACATTCAGAACTTTCCCTTCCTTAAAGTAGGAAATATGGAATGGGGGTGGGGGTTATATTATCAGTTGTCAAATCACTGCAAGACAATCCTTTTCTTAATATAGCATTCTCAATCATACTATTCCTTTATTTACAGCAGGTTTTCAGTGTCATTAGGGTCGACTGCAATAATAGCTGTTGGAAAGGATGAAAGAAAGTGACTTGAATTTGATGAAAGACTCTCGGGCTACAAGCTGCGTCAGGTGTCTGAATGGTGAATAAACCATATCTTCTGTCAACGTTTCGAGAGCCATCTCTGCTCTCATCCTCAGGGCAACTGTGTTCCCATCTGCAAGTGCGCTACAAAGGACCAGTTTTGTTAAGCAGCTGCCCTGAGGATGAGAGCTGAGATGGCTCTCGAAACGTTGGCAGAAGATATGGTTTATTCACCTTTCAGCCACCTGACGCGGCTTGTAGCCCGAGAGTGTTTCATCAACTTCAGTCGTCGCGAAAGCTTTACAGGTAGCCCTCGATATGCGCCGGTTCAGAATAATGCCGATTTTGAAACCAGTAAGTGAAAAAAAAAATTATTTTACTTTTATTTATGTTTTACAATGTATCTCGTATTGCTTCTTATACTAAATTGTAATTCTTACATCGCTGATTTTGAATAAAAATTGTAAATACAGTCATCTCTGCAATTATGTATGTTTCGTTAACTCGAATTTGCTCCAATGAGATCGATGAATCGGTAAAAGCTGTTTGTGAAATGCAAACTTTTGCATGTGCGAGTTTGCTCTTATGCAATTTCATTTATGGCGCTTTAAACATTCAAAGGACTAATTTAATCTCTGCGGAGGTACCAGGGTTATTTTTAGTACGTGATTATCTATAGGTCGGCGTCTTACATGAATGCAACTATCGCATAACAGCAGAGATGACTGTACACATCAATCACGTGAAAGAATCGCAGTCAATCGCGGGGACCGACGAATTGCTGATTGTAAGTGTATGAAATATATTTTTTAAATTCCCTTTATTTTATTTACGTTATTTCAGAGCTTTAAATGTAATGCCATTACTCGTCAATGTTTGGATGCTGGGAATGCATGTCATTGACTTCCCATTGATTTACATTATAAAAGAGTTTCAATTTACGCTGATTCTGATTACGCTGGTTCATCCAGGAACACATCCCCGGCTTAAATCGAGGGCTGCCTGTACTTTATACAAAAGTTACTTGAAATCATCCACTGTTTGTAAGTAACACAAGATTTTATGACTATGTAAACAAATAGGCAGTGGCGCCACATCTGGGAAGTCTGATGTAAATGTAAGTTGCATCCAAGGTTATAGAAAAATATTTTTTGTGAAGTGGCTCTTATTGTTTCTGTAGAAAGAAAAAACATTTCTGGGTGTAGAAGAAATCTTTCTTTATATGTAAGTGAGAAGTGACAGGTTGGTTATGTGGTTTCATGTGAATTGTGCTGCTTGTAGGCACTGAAAATTGCGGTAGAAATTGGAATCCAGGGCAAGCAGAGGTTAGTTTCAGAAACTTTTAAAGCAAAATGATTACTGTATGAGGCGGTGAGCGTGTACCGCTCAAGGCTTCTTAATGCTTACCTAGAAAACTATGAATGGATCAGATGCACATGTGACCTGATACTGACAGATCTTGTTGTTCACAGTTTTAATTGAAAAGTGTGGAATTTTAAGCAGTTTGAATGGCTCAGAGGACAGTGTATTTTGTGGCGTTGATGATGACTGCGTCTGTTTGGATTGCAGTGATACAAACAGTGAAACAAAGCAATAATTATTAATTTTAATGCTATTTAAGTTTCATTGTCACATCTGCTTGAATAAATTTCTAGATAATTTATTATTGTTTGGTCTTAATATTAGTTTCAATCAAATAAATGATGATGGTGATAATTACTTAGAAGCTCTCTCATATCCTCTTGAAGAATTTAATTTAAAATGTACTGTTTTAAATAATTAACAAGGACTTTATCAGTTATAATATTGCATCTGTCAGAATTAATGCCGTGCTGTTTGTCATTTCTCAGTGGCCAAATAAATCAGGACAATGTGTGATGTAAAAGTAAATGACAGTCTGGTTTCAGATGTAGTGAGCGAATCTTTTTTCATGTTTTTGAAACAACGCGGTTTTCGTGATTTTCCAACTACAATCGGAACCCGTTTGTCACTACCGTCACTGTTAACACACAGAAGAACAGTAATTCGGTGTTTTGCACGTATTCCCCCGTGGCAAGATTCACCTTTCAATGCCAGAGTCCTATCCGGGAGGGCGTTGTAGAAAAGTCCGGTCTCATCCGCATTATAAATGTCCCGCGGCTCATATCCCTCCAGCAGTGTTGGCAGTCTCTCGAGCCACAGCTCCGTTATTTCCACATCCACAGCAGCACTTTCGCCTTTCCTTTGTCCTTGTAATAAAAGCATTTGTGAAGAAATTCACACTGCACATGCCATCTGGCATCGCTGGAACGAAATATGAGTGCACCCTAATTAAAATCGTAAAATTTCTGACAATGAGCACCGCCATTCACTCCAACTATCACCCCTGCACCGCTGACCCTCATTCCAAAAGAATGTGCTGGTTGGGCGACATAACAGGTTACCGCTACTGTGTATTCCAAAAACATTGTGCGTCTTTCGGTATTAATTTATCTCAAAACCCAGCATTTTAATTTCTCAGAAACGATCATTGCGGGAACATTGTGGGCCGGGACTAAGATTTTTGAACGATCGATGCGATAAAACGATAGTTCGAGGAACGATAGAAGCGGGAAAATGTAACATTATTTTATATGGGATGTATTCGGGACCGAACAAAACGGACGATGCATCCGGGAAAACGATAGTTCCGGGAACGATGGATAGAGGTTTCACTGTATTATGGTCATCAGTATTAATTTCTTGTGTTGTCATGGTCTTTCTTCTTTTGCTAGCTTCTTACTTATTGTAGGAACCCAAGTCTACATAACAAAGTTGTTAATCTTGTCCGTAACCTGATGACATGCCATGACTGTGACCCGCGTTACGCCGAGCCGGAATGCAGAGCTCGTGTGGCCGCTTTGTACCTGCCCTTACTGGGCATCATCATGGATGTACTTCCACAGTTGTATGGCTACCACATGGAAACAAGAGGTGAGAAAACTTCTGTAACTGGTTAGGTGGCTTGCTGACGCGTTGATTGTGTGATGGTAAAACGCAGAACCATGGCCAACCATGCCAGGTTTGTGGGTGGAACAACGGAGGTAATTTGCAGCATCTGCTGTAATCAGGGTAAGTTTTATTTTTTGTGGATTTAGTCTTTAGGTATATTAAGCCGTCTCAGTGTCCACATGGTCTGAGGTGTGGGCCTTGTGCCGCTCGGACACTGGGACCGTGGTTTCGAATCCCACTCAAGTCATGGATGTTTGTCCGCGTCTTTCTGTGTTGTCCTGTGTACAGGTAGAGGCCTTGTGATGAGCTGATCATTCGTCCAAGGAGTCCTACCGAATGTCTAATAGATCAAGCAAACCTCCAAAAAGAAAGCAGACCCTGCCAAAGTGGAACAAATGCAAAAGAATAAAAAAACGTCCTTAGGTACATTAGTTCCTCTAGCTGTCCAGATTTTCTTGGGACTGATTTGGCTGGAGGAGCATTTGACTGTTCTACCGAAGATGTTCTGCAAATAGCAGATTTCTTGAAAGTGATCTCACTGTATGTATGAAATAGGTCTTAGACAATGTGATGATGTAATTGCAGGCCAGACACTGCTTTTACCCACCTTGGATGATACAGAGCCACAGAACGGAATCAACCAGTCAGTAGCCATGGCAATTGCTGGAACGTCAGCCTTTGGGCAGAAGACGAGCGATACTGAGACACGTTCGTCTTTCCATCAGGTGAGAACAGCCTTTTAAAAATGTGTTATCATGAGGAATGAGAGTAAAGAATTATAATGTTCAGTGGTTTTATATATATGTAAGGTGAATGGCTCCTTGATTTGGGTTTTGGATTCAAATTCATGTCTCTTGGAGGGAAATTAATGCGTTTCGGAAGTGCAACTGGTATCGTGACAGATATTTCTCATTTTTTTTAACCTGATTTGAACAGCCCATCTGCCTCCATTCCCCATGGAAATTGATATAAGAGCTGTGCATATTCTCTGTTTCCTCTGTTAGTTTGTAGATTATTTAAGTGTACTATGTAAAGCTAAGCAGGGGAGGCTCAGTCAGTACAGTACTTGATTACAGGCTCGATGACCAAAGTTGAATTCTTGTCAGGGGCAAAATAATTTTTCTTGTAGCCTCTGTGTCCATTCTGGCTCTGGGACCCACCGTGCCTCCTGTCCGATGGGTATCTGAGTCCTTTATCAAGGGTTAAGACGTGGCCTTAGCGTAACGCTTACTACTCACCTGTATCTAGTGCTGAGGTCATGAGTGAGTAGGAGCTATGCCCCCCCCCATGGTGTGTAGTGGGACAGCTTTACTTTTACTGTGTAAGCGAGGCTACCAGGTCTCTGCTCACGTATCTTTGATTACAGAACCGTAAGTACGTTCTGAGCAGTGAAACAACACGGAATTTGCTCATCTGTTTCCTTTGGATTGTCAAGAACGTGGATAAGAACATGTTGAAGCAGTGGTGGACCGAGCTTCCTGCGCAAAGACTGCACCAGCTCCTTGACCTCCTTAACATCTGTATCTTAAGTTTTGAATATAAGGTAGGGTTTTTTTGAAGATGCTTCCTTTTTCTGTAGATTTATCAGTAATGAATCGTGTAAGAGATACGTTTTGTATATTCTTTATTTGAACTGTATAGGATTTGTTTGACAGGGCATATTTCATTTACAAATGCCATACCATTATGCCCTCAGTTATTCCTGCCCCTCATGCACCATCGTAGATATAAACAACATGAAATGAGTTAATATTTGACATAGCTTTTGTGGAAATTGTATTTATAATCAGTAAATAACTAATTAGAGTGTAGTATTCTTGCTATTTGAACTTAGTACAGATACAGTTTAGTTGTGCAAAAGCCATGGTAACTTAAAATGTGAATTTCAAGACCAATTTGTTTTTTAAAAGAATTCTGTTTATATCCAGCTTACACCATTTAGTTAAGTTTGATTTGTGTTATGGGACATTTTTGGGAATTGTGTTTGCATGACACTGAACCAGTAAATGTGCATTTAAACAAAATGTCACTGTTTCAGTTATCCTGGTATGTCTTGGATGACACAAAAAAGTACTTTTGAGGAAATTTATATAAAAAGTGAACTTTGTGATGACCATGTAAAAACATACATAATGGTCTATGAGTTACATAATATCATGTAATTTTTGTTAACTGAGTTTTTAAACGTTACTCTGTACTCCGAAAACAGAATCTAGAGGTTGTGTACTCGGAAATCTTGAAAATATCCATCTTTATGATATATTTATGTTGTCTATTAAAATGTTAATTTCACACAAATTAAGTGAATCTTAAAATGTTTCCTGTCAAAAGGTGTTACCTGATTTATTATGTCACTTGAAGGCAATTGGTGGTAAGCTTCAGATTTTTGTAATCCAGTCACATAGTTTACGTACAGATAATTTCTTTAGCCACATAACTTTTTGTGCATTTCTCATTTATTTAA